TTGCAGTACGTTACTGTTTTTTAGTCAAAAAGTTTTTCAGAAAAATATGGTCCAGATGATCGTCGGAAAGAGTTCTTGTGAATGAATTATGATATTAGTGATAATTAAAAAATCGGCTTTTTAATATTAAAATAAAAGCGTTTACTATTTCCCCTTATATAACATTTATTTTCTCTTGGTAATTGATCACACTATAAGAAATAAATTTGTATTTAATATTTAATAAATACATAATTGATTATTATCACGTTCATATCATATCAAGTATATGTATCAATTTCATTTTAGCATAAATATTACTTTTAACCTGAAGAGATTAACAATTAATTCTATCAAATAATTATGTGAGATCGTAGTTAATAAAGGTAAAGTATATGTACGTAAGTTTGCAGGAAAGAAATAAAATGTAACTGAAGGGCTGATGATATATCGATTAGCAATTTCATTTTTTTTATGAAATACAATATTTTCATTAATTCTAAACTGTCGATATTATATAAATATATACAATATATTGGGCAAATATAGAAACAATACTTATATCCAATTTGGAAAATAGATTTATATCGATCAGATGGAATGCATGTTAAATTTAATATTTCAGGTATATCCGATATTATACAATACCAAATATAAAATTGTTTAAAACACTATTTACCCATGAAGTCGTCAAGCTAATTTTTAATGATTTTATAATAATTGGTTCGTATATCGTATAAAGATGGTCTCGTCTTTAAAAATGGCAAATTCTTCTATATTGCCTTTAATGACAAATAAGATATTAAGAGAATTTTTTTAGATTAAAATTTTATTCTTATTATTTTAATATTAAATAAAAGTCATAAAACGTAATATCTCCTACAAATAGAATATGACGTATTGAGTTTATTTAAATTTAATTATTAATAAACCTTCAAAAATAAAAGCTTACTGTAATTTCACTATAAAAGAGATATCATATATTTAATTTGTACTTTTCTTCTTCTTACCACTTAACTATAAGCACTAGAAATTCTAAAAGATCTGCCAATAATAAAATATTAGCAATTGCTAAACCTGCTAAACGAGGCCGTAAAAAAAAAGAAAATATCGACCCCTCGATTAATATTAACTATTTGCAAGATAAACCAAATAATGCTAATAAACAAGGTTGTAAAAAAAAACATGAAACAGTTGTATCATCATCTTTGCAAATTATTGACAAACTTTTAAACGATGATAATAATCTACAAGGTAAATATATTATATTTATTTTGTTGGATCTATAGATATTTGTTATATTAGTCATGATGTTTTTATACTATTTTAGATGACGATGAAGAAGTAATAAGCATTGGCGAATTATCTCAATCATCATTAACTTCTCTAAGACAACTTTTACCAGTCTTAGAATCAAGAATTGTATCTTAACTTTTATTATCGCCTTCAAGACAACAGTCACCAACTTGAACTATGCCTCAAATAACTACACCTTCAAGACAACTATTTCCAGTTTTAGGTTCGAGAGTTGTATCTTCAAGACAATTATCACCGACTTTAGAGTTAAGAACTAATGCTTAAAATAACTTTGTCCCTTCAAATCAACTTCCAATTAATCTAATACTTATATCTTCAAGAATACTATTAACTTCAGATTCAAATTTTTCCAACAATACACTTGGTCAATTCAATTCTAATATAATTGCTGCTCTATCTCCATTTAATGAAATGTTAATTTATCAAACTTGTTTGTGGTTATGTATGAATCCTAACATTCTACAGCTTGCGAACAATATGAACTTATCAATGCAAACACCAGCTGCAGATGGCTCGCAATTTATGTCTCCTAACTCTACGACGTTAACTATGGCGCCAAATCAAGATGACAAAGTAGGTTCTCTCTATTTAGCCTTTTATAAATTATATGAATTATTTTTAATTACAAAAAATTTATGTAATAGGTGAAGGCTGATTGAAACTGTTTAGAAGAATTGAAGTGCCTTTTTCTTCATGTTCAAAATTCTCCAAGAAAGGCAATTGAGGATTTAATATAACAAGTTATTAAATGCGATCTCAACTCAACTGAGGGTATTGAATGGCTTCAAATAGCTAAAAGACACTTTGGTGATTTTTTGTAATAAATTAGTTAATGACATCAAAAATTTGGTAAAAGACTTCAAAAGATAAGAGTACGGTTAGTGTGTAACACTATTTTTATTTTTTTTATTTTGCTTTCCTTTATCTAAAATGATTTGTTTCTCTACAATTATAGTCCTACATCGAGCTCACTACAAAAAGAGAAAATAATCGCATTCGTGAATGAAGCTAAAACGCTTGATGTGTTAAATCGGTAGTTGAATGCCACAAATATGGATGAATTACATGCTCATAATTCAATATATCATTTATGTAAGTTTGTCCAAAGTGCATTTGCAGTTAATTATGCTTCAAGAGATACTGAAGGGACAAAAGCATTGGACAAGTTAATAAAAAGTATTGCTGTTCCATCACGAAATGGCAAAAATTTCACCAGTAATATCAAACTGTAAAAGCTTATTTTATTTTATTTAGATAGCATATTTATATGACAATTAATTAATTAAATAGCTTCGATTATATTAATCAGTAGTAAATTTAAAGCATTTATGAGCAAATCCTTTGTATTAAATTTTATTATTAAAATTTACAAGCTTTAAATATATTTGTAGCAGAAATTATATGATTCTATTACTCCTCGATTCATGACATTTGTATAGTGACAAGAGAAAATTAATCTAACTGTAGTCATCTATGAAGCCAATAGTTATACTATATTACTATGTTAGGCATACTTCTCATCAAAATCATTTGATGTCAAGATATTTATTAAGTTATACGAAAAATTCAAATATAAAAAGCAATTCGAATTTTTGGTAAAGTTCTTCTATTACGGTTAGAAGTAGAATTTGCAATTTTTATTTTATATTTGAAATTATTAAATACTAAAATCTAAAATATTATTCTTCAAAGTAGCACTATGTACTCAAATAGTCATTCCGGCATGCCCACTTCCACTTCAAAACTCAAATTATGACTATTATTCCAACAGGCTATTATTTCTCTAAAACAAACAAGTAATGACTGTTATTCCAACAGGTCATCAAATCATAGCTTTTAAACAGACAGTCAAATCGATTAACAGACAGCCAAATCGATTGCTAGAATGGGAACAAAAAAATCAACAAAATTGGGTTGGTGAAAAAAAAACTACTTGAGAAAAAACCTATTTTCCTTACAGCTATTTTCAAAAAGGATTAAATGGCCATGATATTTTCAAGATTTTCAGAGTTTTCAAGACCCGTAATTTAATTTTTACTAATTTAAATTTTCAAATTCTTCGATTTTTCACGTAGGTATATGGAAATCGTTCATATATTTTTGAAAATGGCTGTAAATACTAGAGTTGGTTTTGAAAACTCCGGAAATCTGGAAAATATCATGAATTCCCCATATCATGTCGATTTGTATAATTGTAAGTTATAGCGGTTTGCAAAAAGGTGTGACCTTTGCTGATTCTAGTAGATTTTTTGATTCTTGGAGAATTTTAAAGATTTCAAATAAATTGTAAACGTTATTGATTGAAAATTATGATCAATAAGAAATTAAAATCGGAAAATTTTCTGTTATCCTCATCACGAAATCACAAAGTTACACTTTTTTGAATCAATTTTAATAGTTTTTTGTTTTCTTTTCAGTTATAGCAGTATAACCTTGTGATTTCGTGATGATGATAGCAGAAAATTTCTGAGGTTTTAATTCCTTATTGATCATAGTTTTCGATCAATAACGTTTACAATTTATTTGAAATCTTTAACTGCTATAATTTTATATACTTAATATTAAGTGGATTCAGAATTTTTGAATTTCTACAACATATATATAAATACAGGTAACTATACTTTATTGCTGCTTAATTGTTACTTCATTGCTACTTAATCGCCACATAATTGATTCTGCATTGGCTCAAAATTTATTTAAAATTACTTACAAGACATAACAAAGTTGAAACAATGTTTAATCTATATTGTAACAAAGTTGTGACAAAATTGCCACAACTTCATAACAATTTAAATAAATAATATTGCAACAATATAGTTACAATTTCTTGGCAAAATTGTAACAATATTGTTGTGAATTTAAATTTAATTTGTTATGATTTTTAATTTGGTATTGTGACAATACAGTTACAATTTCTTGGCAAAATTGTAATAATATTAAAATAAAATTGTTACAAATTTGAATTTAATTTGTTATAATTTCTTATTAAGGTATTGTGATGATATAGTTACAATTTTTATACAATTTTTATACAATTTTTTTGTAATTTAGATACAATATTAAAATGAAGTAGTAGTTTTATATTAAAGAAGTTAATTGTATCAAATTTGCAACAATTATATAGTGAATTAGTAATAACTTCTTAACAATTTTATTACAAAATGTTAGGTTTCTGTAAAGGTAGTATTAACTAAATAGGCTATTGGTGAAATAACTATTGGTAAAGTAAAGCGAAATTGAAAATTTATCTAGATATTTTTGAGATAATTAATAAATTGTAAATATTTATTTTTTTATAATAAATTTGTTATTTGTATAAGAATAAAATAAAATACAAGTAAATAAATAAATATTAATATAAATAAATAAATAAAAGTCATGTAAAAAATAAGCAAATAAAAATTTAAATACTATATAAGAAAAAAATCAATAATGTAAAATATATATAGTATATTTACAAGTATAAATATAATAAAATAAAATAAAATTTTTTTGCAAAATTATAGCAGATCAGTATGGTATAGATAAGCAAATTAGTATAGTATAGGCCAATTTTTAAAATTATACTATACAGATCTGCAAAATTATAAAAACTAATGCTCATATATACAGTATAATATCTGGTCAATATAGTATAGATTTAAAAATTGCTCTATACTATACTAATTTGCAAAATACTTTTTTTTGCTTACCTGATATATGTAGTATAATTTAATTGATCAATATATTTATTGATCAACATAATTGAAATTTCTAGAATTATTTAATCGATATTTTATTACCATATTAGGTGCAATTGATATTGTCCAAATATGGTATATTTCCTAACTGTATAGACTAATAGTTAATTAATATTTTTAATTAGTTGACTAATAAATTATAATTTATAGTATTTACTTTATATAATATACAACTAGTTGACTAGTTATAAAATTAGTCAACTGACTAGTTAACTAAAAAATTTTAGTTGATTTGGATTATTATTTAATAGAATTTAATAAAATTTTTTTTAAATAAATTCTATAAATTAATAGAATTTGTTTAAAAAATTTTTATCAAATTCTGTCAAGTATAGTTAACTCCCTCTAAATACATGTTGCTAGGACTAATACTTTAACCTGCATTTAGAAAGAATCTGCAATTATAGAAAAATTAAAATTAATAAAAATTTATTAATAAAAAATAATAAAATCTTTAAAAATTAATAACTTTTGGTCTATTGATCCAATTTGGATAATTTAATTACCAAAATGATTCTCTCATAGAGTTGTTTCTAATAAATCTAAAATTAGCTAAATCTAATTACATAATCTCGCTCAAGATTATTAATAATTTGTATTATATAGTATTTACTATAGTAAATATAACATAAAACATCAACGATCTCGAGATCATATAATCAGATTTGGTTGATTTTAGGTTTATTGGAATTGCCTCTATGCGATGATCATTTTAGTAGTTAAATCATTCAAATTAAATTATTAGATCAAAAGTTATTAATTTTTAAAGATTTATTATTTTTATAATAATAATTTTTATAAAATATTATATTATTAC